GCCTCGCGCGGTGTGGCCCAGGGCGCCCCGCCCTCCGCCCCACGCCGCCCGGGCCCCTGTCGCCCTTTGCTCTGTGCGCCCTCAGCCCAGAGACCCACCTCCTCCCCGCCCGCGCCGGAGAGCGAGGGCCTCGGGGAATACGGGACTAAGCTAGTGTTCGGCGACTTGCAGGCCAGAGTCCAAGAGCAGCTGGCCTGAGGTGGGGGCGTGAAAAGGCCAAGTGCAGGCTTTACTCCCAGGGTTCCAAGACAAAGCTGATGTTGGGGAGCCTGGAGAATGCAAAGGGCCTGAGAACTGTGGGGTCACAGGATACCCAAGTCCCCAAATTAGAGATTGCTTGTAATACCAAAAACAGAGTAAGTGCTGTGGGAATAGCTGTTACACTGTGTTGTTCAGGAAAACAATGTGTGGACCTCCAGTCCAGAGCCAGTTTAGGCCGAACTGCATAGTGTGCGTGAGCAACAGTGTAACATTTTAAAAAGATGTTTTCTGTCTCTGGTTGGTTGAGCCTGCAGATGCGGAACCTGCAGGTAAGGGGAGTCCACTGTACTTCAGAGGGGTATATGGAGAGTCTCCCCCACACACGCACACACATAAGGGCTGGCCTTGGACCATCTCAAACGAGAAAAGCCTTCTAGAGGCTTTCCACGGACATACCAGTTAATCCTAACAGCAGTCCTGTGGGATGGGCATGGTTGTCATTGCCAGATCAGATAGAAGAACTGAGGTACCAAGGTCTGCCTGAGGCACCCAGGTGGAGAGTGCCAGGGTCCAGGTTCCACTGGGTCCACCTGGCTCTAAAGCCTTTGCTCGTAACCAGCACCTTGCCTTTTTAAAGTCTTTTATATCGTATTTTTACTGTACCTTTTTGGGCTCAGGTATGTGTAGGTACACAAATACTTCCCACTGTGTTACGGTTGCCTACAGCGGTCAGCACAGTAGCATGCTGTGCAGGCGTGTGGCCCAGGAGCGATAGTGCACTCTGGGTGTTTGCACAAGGACACAACTGCCTAACAACGCATTTCTCAGAACATACCCTTATCAAGTGACCTATGGCCATGCCTCCCTCCCTATCTATCTATCTATCTATCTATCTATCTATCTATCTATCTATCATCTATCTATCTATCATCTATCATCTATCATCATCTATCATCTATATATAGTTTTTAACCACTTTGTTGAGCTATGACTGACACGCAAAAAGCTGTATATATTTAATGTCTGTAACTCAATCTGGGAATAAGTTCACACCTGTGAAATCATCAAGGCCATAAATACATCTGTAAGCTCTGGACGTTCCCCCCTGCCCCCTTTATTATATAGTCCAGTGTGTGTGTGTGTGTGTGTTAAGAACACAGAAATAAGACCGTAGACTTCAGTGCACAACACAACTTTGTACTCTTCTATCACTTGTTACTTCTGGTTCCCCCTGTTCCCCTGTGAGAAGGGCCTGAAACATTAGCCAGGGTTCCCCTGGCCGCGGTGCCATAGCCCCAGCCCTTGCTAACTAGGAGCTTTGGCTTGAGTTTGGGAGGCTGTCAAGAGCGCCTGCCACCCAGGTTAAGAGCTCGCTTCCCGCGTCCCCGGCTCTAGGCCGGGAGAGGTTCTGTCTCCGCGGGCAGCGCCCTCTGGTGGCTTATTAAATCACTGCCTGCTCCCGCCTTCCCCAGAGGCCCAGGACTGGGACCAGGAGGACAGGAAGATGCAGGAGGGAAAGGAACTTCAAGGTGGGCCCTCTAGAGAAGGTTAGCTGTGAGAAGTCATGCAAATCTCCAACCCGTCAGGTCTGAGGTCACGAAATGCACACACAGAAGCCCATCAATGTGACACCCAGTACCACATCCTCATGATGGCAGCTGGGCCTCCTGCATGGGGATCCTGGGTGGGGTGCCCCGTGGGGTCCCCAGCACACAGCAATGCTTCCAAAATGCTCACAGTCGTAAGGCCTGGCCGGGTGACCTTGGGAAAGTCGTTCAGTTTCCCTGTGCCTGGTTTCCTCATTTGGGAAATGACAGTTATAATACTAAGGGGTTCCTAGAACTGTTCTGAAGATCACAGGAGGCAATGTGTAGGGACCCAAATTGTTCTCATTTACATCGTAGGGTGGGGAGGTGAACAGTGTCTGTTAAGTCCCAAATGTGAGCCTCATGTGCCCAGAGGTTCAGGAAATCCATCCCCCCCACCCAGCCCTCCACACTGCATCCCATTCCTAAGAGGCCCCAGAATTCCCCTGAGTGTGAGGTTGTGTTCACAGAGCCAGCTGGAGCCAGAACTCAGATGGGGTCTCCTGAGGCCAACACCCCACCCCACCCCCCTTTCCCAGAGCCTGAGCGAGCCAGCTCCTACCTTGTACAGCTCTTTCAGGAGAAACCCGCCCAGACCTCCCCACACACCTCTGCAACCTCTTAACCAGAGCACACGAGTAAACTTGGTAGCATTTTGAAAACTGAAATGTTATGGTCAGTGTTCTTTTTATTTTCAATTACCCTAAGGAGGCACAGTAGTCTTTTTGGTGCTTGGGGCTCCCCGAATCCTGACCCAGTCTCACAGCCAGGCACCACAGAGCCAGGGTTTGGGGTCAGGAGAGGTTCCAAGCCCACGTGCTGGGCCCAGGACACCTGTCCTAAGGGCCTCTGAGTCTACGACCTGAGGCAGAGGGGGTCCCCCTGCCCCCAGTCACCCCGAGGATGCATGCCATTTCTTTCCTCCATCACGTGTCCCTTTGGGACACACACCAGCTGTATTAGTTTGCTGGGGCCCCATAACAAAGCAACACAAACGGGTGGCTTAAAACAACTGTTCTGCCTCACAGTTTTGGAGACTAGGAGCCAAGGTGCCGGCGGGGCCTGCAGGGGAGAGTCCTAACTCTTCCAGCTCCTGGGCTGGCCGTTGTCCGTGGCCTTCTTGGCTCGTAGCTGCACGGCAGCCTTGTCACTGCATGTTGGCCTCCCTGTGTGCCCGTGTCTGTGTCCAATCCCCTTCTCATAATGACAGTCATATTGGAATAAGGGCCCCCCGACATGACCTCAGCTTGATCCCACCTAATTCCAAGTGAGCCACAGTCACAAGGACCTGGGGTTAGGACTTCACCGTCTCTTGGGGCAACACCATCCAAGCCATGACACAGGGATCCGGCGGGTGCCGCTGCGTCCGAGCTCACGGAGCGCACTGAGCGCACGCACGTAAAGGAGCAGCCGGCCTGCGCGCTGGGTCAGGGCT